TTCACACCAATTACCTTAATTATTGTTCTTAGTAAACAGGGGTGAAGGAACTGCAAGACTCTCCAGTGATCATGCAGTGCATGTGCATGGTGTTTTCATTCGTGTCCCTGTTTTTTAGGCAACAGGTCAATGAGGAATTAGAAAGGTCACTTCAGATTGCTATTCCCTCAGGAATGCACTTGTTTGGAACAGTAAATCAAGGCACATAGAATATAGCTGATTTAATCCAGTATATTGTGATAGAGAGGACTATGGGAGGGGTGTGGATGGGTGAAAAGCTGGTGGAGGGTATTTTCCAACATTTAGGATATGGGTGAATGCTGACAGACATTCTATGCATTTGCACAAAAATAACAATTACAGTTTAAAACGACGCTCATATACTGTACCACAAAATTGAGTGATGTGATTTGACGATGAATATCAAGTTGACTGCTGATTGTCAAAACTGCAGTTTTGATATCCAGTGCAATAATCTGACTGCCCCAAACATGAATCTGGAATCCTACAATCCCAACACCGGCAGGTGGTTCTTAACATGATTAATTTGATAATATGCGATTGTCTGATTTCTCAGAAATGTGTCTTGCACCCCAGCAGCTGTTATACACATACAGAAACGTACGAAAAACACACAAACAGTACAATTTCACATTAAAAAATAATGATACCATCACATAGCAGAATCAACCCATAACAGACAGCAGAATGACAGCACAAATGGGAACATAAACTCTCAAATTCCCACTTAAGCTTTTAACATTGGATTGACTACAATTTTTTAAAACAACTGAGGTATTTGCAGCACTCTAGCTGGTTAAAACGTAGCAGACTGTCATACAAATTTGTCAGCGATCCACTGACAGAAATTATTTGGTGAGCAATACAAATCCATATATACACAGTATACAAAATACTGCACAAGATATGAGCAGAACACAGCTCTGAAAAAGAATATGAATTGAGATTGGATTCATCTTCTCTGTGTTGGCATTCCAAACTTCCTCCTGCTTTGAACTGCAACATCAATTTTACAGAACCCATCAAACAATGCTTCTTTTCTCCTCCTAGCAATAAATACATAATATTTTATTGAAGACATCAATCTGGTAATAACACACTTCTATGTGATATTATTGATTGCTTTATTAAAAAATCCCACAGAGATTGTTTTATGGGCCTGGTGTAAATCATCTGTTTTTTTTCCCTTCTGTGAATACACAGCTTTGTTAACTGTTACGAGATATATGCTAATACATTTGAATATTTTATAGAAGCAGTAAAATCTGAAATCCATAATTTGTTAACGTATTCCGTGTAACAAACCACTAAAAGCCAAGCTATGAATACAAATGCAGATTTGCTTTGTTTAAAGGTAATCTGTCAGACTGAATCAACATAAAACTTTCTTTAAAATCCTTTAACTCTTTGACTACAGCAGCAGAAGACCTCATGGGTACCCAATCTGTACTCATCAAGTGAACATTATATAATATTACTTTCCATACAGCGCTTTGTTTTATCAAGTGATGTAAAAATCTGAAATTGCTTGACTTTTGCAGCATTATTATTTCATGTTTTGTGTCCTGTTAAGGGAGATTTTGCAATAAAATAACTTATCTATAATGATAGCACCAAGAAAGAACGGAGACTAGTTGCAGTGAGGAACTCAATGTACTACATACAGTTTCTTGGTCAATTTCTTACAGTTTTTTCTTCACATTGCACCAATAAATGTTCTGCTGTATAATTGGGTTTCCAATGTAAAAGGAAATTAAAATAAACAAATTCAACTGCCAGTGATCTACAGAAATTCTTACGCTGAAACTCGGAGACACTGTGCACTGAAACGGTTATTATTATAGAAGAATTTTGATAGACCAATACCAGGTAGTGGCTAAAAACAAATGATACAGTACACAGTAAGGGAAATAAAAGTAGAATTCTAATGATAGGAGATAGTCCCCTAACAACTGAATGCATAAAATAGGAGCAAGTCAAATATTTAGTGAAAACATATTTAATTCATTTTCTGAAAGAACTGCTACTTTCAACTCCAATTCACAGTTTTAGGAAACCTCTGTAAACTCCTTTAAAAAGGAACCTAGGCGTTATTGCACAAAATTTGCTCAGACTGGGAGATTGCATTTGTAAAAGTACCACTTCAAATCTCAGGTACACAATGCAGTTTCGTGCAGAAAGGTCCCACAAAATGCAAGGACCGCTCTTTCACTCAACTGTTCTTCAGCTTCCCACACAGACTCCTGAACGCCATCAGCGCAGCTCATGTACGGCTGACTCACTAAAAACAATTTATCGTTATTAAAATCCTGTGTTTACTCCCATGGGTAAAGTTGCAGCATAAGAGGAGACACAAACAAGATGCCGTTCTCCCCTTCTTGATCGTTTAGCAGCATGCTAATTAACGAACATCCTCAAGATAATTAACGCCTGCCCCTCCTTCAAAAATGATGAGAACTTACCAGCTGTTCGCCAATCAGTCAATGGGTGAAAAATACCGATAAAGCCTGAATCCATATTTATATCATGCAGCTTTTAAATGAAAATTAAAGGCAAGCACAATGTAGACCTCCTGCGAAAAGAAAGATTGCACTTTTTTTTCTGATAGTGCAAGAGGGCATAATCACCTAATGCAAAAATAATGCTGAATAATCAGTTTAATATATTTAGAGGTGCTCAATAGCAATTAACTGATATAATAGAAGGGCCATTCTGAAAAACTGTAATAGCCTAATGGCTACTATTTACAATTTAACAATCATTACCAGGACCAAAAATCATTTCTGATTTTAAGTAGTACTATATGTCAGTATTAAGCTAATATTCATCTCAGTTGTAATCAATAGCAATTTATTGGAGCTGGAGATAATTGCAGGCGGGAGAGCTAAGAGGAAGCAGCCCAGTTTTCCTGCCTATAAACAGATTGGACCAGGGATGTATTATCCACACAAGTCACAAATTATTTCCAGTTTTATGAGCTGCTATCCACCCTCTGGGAAACCAGCTCCAATGCTGAATGCACCGCAGGCTCCTGGAGGGACTGTCCTGTGCGAGGAGGCACTTTATTATCCTCGCTCAGCCAAGACTTTTAAATCACCCATGGCAAGGGAACTGGAGCACTGATAAAGACTCCAATATTTGTCTATTAATTTCCTTGTTAACCATACCCTGAGAAACACTGCTCAGCGTCTGACACACAATATATATGGCTTTGCCTTTCCAGTAGGTGAGCAAGCAAGTGATTTTCATCGCACTTTAACTTTAATCACAACATCACAACACAAGAACCCATTGCTATTACTCTTTTTTTTCCTGTAGATTTTTAACTTCCCGTAAAGATTACCCAAATCTTAAGTGTTTTAAAGGGGGTAACCCTGACGTTCTGGCCACATTTCCCATCGGCCCTTACTATTAGGAGATGGCCTCCAAATCTTCCCCATCTATGAACTGGCTTCATCACTCTGTTCTCCTCCCCACTGATACCTGGTGTGTGGTGAGTGTACTGGTGCATCATCCAGGTGGGGCTATAAAGCACTTTGAGTGGAGTGTCCAGAAAAGCTCTATATAAGTGTAAGCAATTATAATTATATTAATTATCATTAAATTAATCCCCAAAAAGTTTACTGAGTTTTCTTAAAGGATGCTGTTACAGACTATGGTAGGTGACTGGTAAGTGTCTCTAAGTATCTAGATAAAGTGGGTAATACTTGGCACTGTAAACATCTCCAGCTTCAAAGCAAAGGGGAGGTTTGCTGAGATATAGGGGATCCAGATTCAGTGACCTTAAAGTTGATCTTGGTTTACCTTAATTTGAATTCTGGGTAAATGATTAAGTGTCAATACAAACATCATTTAAGAATGTAGGGAAAAAGAGGACAGACAAGACCACAAGAGAGATATCCAAGGTAAGAATTCCTTGTTCCAGATCACCCAGGAAGGCAAGATTGAAGCGAAGTATTTGAATCATGTTAAGAGAGCTCGCTACTGTATTTTGTCGTTTTTAGGGAACTCTGATTTCCTGTGAACAGAATCCTCGGTTAAAAATGGCCTTTCCTGGCGATTGAGTGCTTTTTTATAATAGGGTTCCCATTCATTTGGTGGTATCCGAGTTTACAGAGAGAGAGATGTAACAGGTTGAATTCTGTTTTGTTTAGAAGGTAGCTTATCTCTTATCTTTGGCCTTTGCAAGCATAAGAGTCTGAATACCTGGTAACAGTCTGGGTTTTTTTCTGGGTGGTTGGGATTTCAGGCTTCTCGAACACTTCATTGTAAATGTGTATAGAGTTACCGCGTGTGTTTATGTTGTGTGTAGTGTACTGTGTATATTCATCATTAGTAAATATTTAAGTGTGCCTGAATTATTTTTCACAAAAGCTGTGCCAGAGAACAAATAATTAACGTGCCTCCAGCTATACTACCTTCTCAGGTATATTCTCTGGATAAAAAATCATTTACAAACAGGGGTTATGATAATTTATTTTAGTTATTGATTAATCAGACATTACAATAGAGTATTCATTTATACTACAATTTCAAGGTAGGGGCTATTTCCTTGGTCTGCTTGCAGTGCAGTGGTATGCTATTATTTTAACAGGGCTTAGCTTACTTCATAAACATGATCAGCAGTTGATTTTTGATTTGTGTTGCACTACAAGCATGAAGAAGGTTAAATGATGCAGAACACGGCATTTAGAAGAAACTGTACGTGTATATTCATACAGTACTTTCCTCCAAGAAAACAGGAATGCATATGTGAAATATTCTCTTTACCACACAGATTTGAAGTAGTAAATCCTCACCAAGCAGAAAAAGCAGTAACTCACTGCGTCAGTGACAAGATGCACTGAAGGGAAACCGAGAGCCGAGGCCGCTTTCAGCATGAAAGTTTAAAGCACTGTCTCAATGGACTGCTTACTCTCCTGAACGCTGGAAAATGATGAAGCAACAGCAATGAACAACTTGACAACAACATGGGAAAATCTGCTTCAAAATTTATTGTGGGATTTACAAAAGAAGCATCAGTGGCTCTTCTGTAAAACAAAGATAGGGTCAGCTCTTCTTGGACATACACATGTTCTTCCATGCACATGTTCTGGGGAAATATACTCCATATCATGAGGAAATACAATAAAAATATCGATTTTTACCTTTTGATAGCAGATGTGAAATTTCTAAAACATCCACAACAGTGTTACACAGTGCATTGCTCTTAGCGTAAAGTACAGATCCTACCCAGTAGTCATGATTGCTTCATTACCTCTTAAACCTGTACAAAGATTTAACAGTAAAGTTCATGTCCGCAGACAACTGGTGCTTATGATCCTGCCACACCAGGACCTCTGGAATTCTGCGTTCTGTAGAACACCTGGATAGCTAAACCAGGGGGACTGCTTGCTAGTTGTGACCTCATACCACAAGTCTCAGTATGTATGTATGAAGCTGATCTGCAAAGGCCTCCAAAGAAAACTGCTTTAAGACACGCTGTCTCCCAGCCTCACCCAGTTCCTGCCGGAGTCTCGGATCCCTAACGAACTTCTCCATAGCATCAGCGAAGCTCTGTGCTTGTGGCTCACACAGGAAGCCCGTTTCCCCATGTGCAATGGACTCCAGTGGCCCCCCTGAGTTCACGGCAATGACAGGGCAGCGCATATACATGGCCTCTACAGGCACGATGCCGAAGTGTTCGTTGCTGGGAGTGTACAGCACACACGTGCTGTGGTGGAGCAGCGAGATCTTCTGCTGGTCGGAGAAGGAGCGCAGGAAGGTGACACATCCCGAAAGCTCCAAGCGAGAGGAGAGGGTCTTCAGCTCCTCGTAGTGTTCCACGTTCTCCTGTACCCTCTCATCGTAGCCCCCAGCCATCACCAGGTGGACCCGCCTCCCCTGCTCTGAGGTCAGCCTGCCCTGCAGCTCCTTCAGAGCTTCCAGAGCCAGGGGGAGGTTCTTCTTGCGTTCATAACGGTTGATGGACAGGAACACCCAGGTCTTGCTGTCAGGGATCAGGTGTCCCAGCTCCTCGGGCTCTGCGTCAAAGAGGACCGAGTTCAGGGAAGGGTAGAGGATGTCGGGGTGCACCTCGGATAAGCTCCTGAAGGTGCGTCTGAAGACCCCCGCGGTGAAGCGGCTGTTGACCAGCACGCAGTCGGCCATGCCTGTGGTGACCTCCTCTAGACGGTCGATGGGGGCGCGGTACAGCCTCTTCAGCGCAGAGCGGCGCTGCGTCAGGAGCTGGTCGGGGAAGTGGCAGTAGAACAGCACCTTCTTCCGCCGCCTTGCCAGTCGCAGCACAGGAATGCAAGCCGATACCTAGCAGG